CCTTGGCGCAACCCACTTAGGGGGATAGGCCATGAATGGGACGGTGCCTTGTTTTTTAAATTAATTCACTTCTTGAAAGAGAGGGTTGGATGATTTAGGTAATATAGGTAATAATAAAAATGTGTTAAATTTCTAAACAAAAAAACCTTGAAAAGAAAACATAACATACAAAAAAGAAAAAAATACATAAAACGACTGAAGTTACTTATTTTTAGCATTACATTCTTTAGATCTTCGTAAGAAATTTGTAACAGCGGTAAAAACGCTCAAGTGGCTGAATCCAAATGCGACTGCGCCAAATGAAAGAATCACCGGAAGTATCAAGTTTAAGCCCAACTTTCGTAGGGGTTCTTCCAGTAGATTTTCCCTTTGAGTTTTGAATTTTCGGCATGACAAAAAGAAGTGCTCCAAAGATTCCCTCTCATTACAATAAAGGCACAAAGGCGACTGTGCCAGACCCGACCTGTGAAGGTAAAAGTTCAATGAGGGGACTCGACAACGCAGCCTGGTAATCACTATTTCTTCCTTTCTTGATGAACACCACTTGTTTTTCCAAGGGAACTTTAGCTGTGGGAAGTCTGGTACAAACAAAGGGGATTTTTCAAAGTTATTGACCGTTGTGCGTTTTGCAAAGCGTGCTGCTGTGATATACTCTGAAGTAGGCAAAATAGGTAAAACAGGACAATCAAGGGAAGATACAGCTAGTGCATCTGCATGCTCATTCAGAGCTAAATTTATGGCCTGGTACCCAAACTAGTCGGACGAGTCGCACAAGTGTAGGAATGAGCGAACAGAAAGTTTCTAAGGTACGCGAAAAAGTTGGTGAGCTTAAAGCAGTACAAACCGCGAGACAGTCTGTTAGAACAATCACCGCTGATAGATCTTGCGGCACTTTACACAATGCTAGGACAATTGCCAACAGTTCAGCTCTGTAAATAGGTGTAAAGTCGGGTAATCGAATTGAGAAATCCCAATCTAGAGAGGATGATACGATTCCTACGCCAGCCTTTTCTTCATAAACCGAAGCGTCAGTCGCTATCACAATGGATGTTTCTAGATTGGCCGAATGATCTTCCGAAATGCCATTTATATATCGATATGGTAAATTTTTTGCATTCTTGGATATATATTGTCAAACTTTATCCTAATTGCATCTACAGTGTTGAGCACAAGTGTTTCCCAAAGGTTAACTCTTAAGGGCTCTAAAAGTTACTGAGTAAATATTACTTGAGGACACCTTAATTTAGGCCATTGGTGGTTTAAGAATGAGGTCTGCTGGTTAATGAACACATACTGTGACCTCCGCTGAGGTGATGCATAGATTTTAAGAAATGTACGTACTGTTAGAATATCAAATCTTTGATAAGAGAAGGCAAGCAGGATTCTTCGCATAGGATATTGTTGGCAACATATTTGGGTAGCCCTAGGCATAAGCGTAAATATTCGCGTTCTAGCAGAATCAGTGGTCGAACTTTATAGGCCGGAGCGCCCGAAAACAAAACACAGCCGAATTCTAATATTGGTCGAATGTACATGCAATATATCATAACGAGCACGTCTCTACGCAAACCGGCACGATTAATACTGAGCCTGCGCAGCATCCCTACGGCACGTGCTCCTTTAGCAGCCATGTTTTTTATGTGGGTACTCCAGTTAAGTGTTTCGTTGTAGGTTACCCACAAGTACCTAACTGACTCGACCTGAGGTATGGCGTCCTGTCGGTACATTAGTGAAATACGCACTGGGACGTTTTGTGCGAAAACTATGATTGTACTTTTGTTTGTATTGAGGCATAGGTTGATATCCTCCAGCCACGTTTCCAGACTATTCATGTATGTCTGCAGAATCAGGTACAGTGTGTGAATGTCCGCCGACGCAGCAAAAAATGCAATATCATCAGCATACACATAGACCTGTACATCTTGCTGTATGGGAATGGTACATAGTAGTGCATTAAATAATAAGGGCGATAGTACGGACCCTTGCGATATATTTCTCGTTTGCCTGTATATTGAAGAGTTGAAAGCAGATTGCGAGTGGTAAAATTCTCTATCACCTAAGAAAGCATGGATTCAGGCCACAAAGTATTTAGGCAGTCCTAAATTCTAAAGTAAATCTAGCAGGTTAACATGCTCCACGCTATCATAGGCGTTTGTGATATCCAATGTTACTAAAATGGAGTATTGTTTCTGATATCGAGCAAGTTGAAATCTGCTTTCGAGATCCACGTGTGCACACGAAATGAAGCAACCACGCCTGAATCCAATTTGACATGAGCACAGTGTCAGTTTTTCTGACATCCATCGATCTATACGTCTATATAAAATTCTTTCAATCAGTTTTACTAGGTTCGATGTAAGTGAAATGGGCCTGATATTATCTAAGGTAAACATAGAACTTTGCTTTTTAATAATGAAATCACTTTTGTCATTCTCCAATCAGGTGGCATCCAAGAGCTTCTAAGTGAGTGACTAATAATTTCAAGTAGGCCAAGTGGGTATATTTTATTTACTGATTTTATTATCGACGTCGTTATGCCATCAGGACCAGGAGCAGAATGGGGTAGTGTTCTGACTACGTTTGCTAATTCTGCAGGCATAACCTCTTCAAAATCCTCAGCCCTATGAGAGGACTGGGCTTGGTATGAGAGAAGTGTCGTAAAGCGACTTTCTAGACCCTGAGCTATATCTTCTAGAAGGGCCTTCAGTTCAACTGGTAATGAAACTACAGATTCTATATTTCTTTGTACCGGAAGAACTTTCTTAGTTCTCAGAAAGCGAAAAAGTGCTTTTCTATTGACCGGCTTTGACAGGAACTCACATCTGTCGTTGTTAAATCTGTCCTTCGCATTAGCGATGGTTCTCTTAAAAATAGCGGCCGCATACTTATAATCACTCCAGCTCCTGCGACACTGGTTGAAGATTAATTTTTTTCATGCAGCCACTCTTAGTCTCCAAGCCTGCAAACAGTCCGCATTCCACCAAGGGTTGGTAGACGGTTTACAGCTTTCAATGGTGAATTTTGATTTATTTAACGACTCTTTTAAAATGTCGCTAATTCTGATGGCGTCTAGTCTGCATCATTCGTTTGGTTATATAAAGTGCCTCGTAACTATTTCTCGAAAATATTAAAATTTACATGTGTTACGGAAGATCTATTCTTGGAGGTTATTGGACATAACACTTCGAATAATACTGGCATATGGTCACTACTTGTTCCCGAGTTAATCGCAGACCATGATAAGATTTGTGACTAGGTACAAATAAGTCATTGACCCGTGCATACATGTTTAGTATATTCCCTCTCGCCAACTGTTGCAAGCAAGGTCAAGGTGCAATTTTGGTAAAGCTAAAAGGTTGGTTCGTGTTACATTCAGTGCAGACAGTGCAGCCATTTTCACCTGCCATGACCTCTTTAATGGACACCATCATCATTAGCACACTATAGTTGATCCAGTCATTGTCCAGAATGTTTTTTCCTGGCGTAAATGTAACTTGAATTACTGTTGTTGTGTCTAACAAAAAAAAATAAACCCCTCAAAAACGCTCCCCTTTTTGGTGATTTGCATTCAGTTAGAGCGTTATAATTGGGCCATGACATGCCAACCCAACCATCGTTTTTTAGACCATCACAAATATGGCCGAAAAAAATTCACGTTTTTTCAAAAAACTCGCCCTGTTTGTTTATTTTTGTTGCCAAGAGTGATTGTGCCTATTGTCACTCTGCAATTTTGTGCTGAGTGAGCTAGAAGGCATGAAAAAAATTATGAAGTGCCTAAAAATTCCCTCAATAAAACGGTATTTGTGGTAAGGTGATGAAGCAATGTAACTGTAAAAATAGTGACTCAATTATGTATATCAATTTTTCGTAAGCTTATCAGACAAACGATGCTGAATAGTTGCCAATTTTGTTTTTTTTTTCAGCAAACATGGCAAGCTCAAAGAGCACAAATAAACTACGTGCAGCTGGCTTGCTTGAGATGCTAAAAATTAAAAATAATTTAGGTGCTGAAACTATAGCAGATAGTCTGAAAAAAGAAATTGCGATTTTCCTTTTCGGGGAGGGGGGGAAGTTCTATATTCAGTGTCAAAACATCATTTTGATGCCTGGAAAAAAATATGCATAATAACTCATTTGAAAGCGTTATGTATTAGCTGAACGTAGGTGCAGTTACTAAAGAGTTATAGTTAAACAAATACTTTTTTTAAAATTATGTTTCTTTCACAGCTTTTTACCTACGTAACTCTGCATGATGCTATTGCAAAAGCAATCTTCAGCCCAAGCCCACATATGGATATGTAGACGACAATCTTCGTGCTTAATATAAAGCATCCTTAAGTTAAAGGAAATGAAGTTATCATCTGTGTTCTACTGCCAACAGAGGTGCGCTGGAAGCAATATGGCTAGAGTGTGGGGACGGGTAGCATAGCAAAAGAAATATTTTTGAGCTGCGTTGTGGGATAGAAAAATGAGATGTCAGCCTTTTTTATATACATGCGTGTGTGCATTTGTATGTGTAAACGTATATATGCATATGAAGAACTGAAAAATATCTGAAAAGCTAGAGGGGGGAGGGGGAGTTTAGCAGCTCTCTCCTTTTCTAGTGATTCCTAAGAGATGAGCTATCAAGCCATTAAAAATTATACAATACGCAATAACACTACATTACCCACAACATAAGCAAGAGAGAACAGTAGGCTAGCCTGTGAGTTCCTAATATGACGCTATTTATTTGTCTTTGAAACGTTGAAGTGCCAAGCGTATACTTTATTATGTTCACAGTCAAATATAATGATCAACCAAGCCAATTAGAAAATATTGGAATATGTTCGGTGACAAAGTAACCCCATTCTGTCGCAAGAATCTGCATATTGCACGGAATGTTAAGTTGAAATGTTTTGTTCAAAGGTTACTGATGCCCAATGTCTGTCTGAAAAAATTTCTCTGATCACAGGAAGTTCCCCTCTTTATTGTGGAGAATAAAGTGAGACATAAAAACGTAATCAACAGTTTTTGTTCATGTTTTATTGAGGCGTTTATTTAATGTGAAGTTATTGTTCACTTTTCCTAATACCTTGAGAGCTGCTCACCCTCCACGATAAGTTTCCTGCCAACTCGCTCGAGCTTCGCGCACACGTCCTTGCGAAAAGCGACCGGTGAGTCTTCTGCCGCGTACATGCCCATGGAATCTCCCATGATCTTGGCCAGTATTTCGAAAGCCTTCTCCTGCGCCTTCTGCTTTGCCTTGTCAGCTCCTTCCTTGATTGTATCCCTCATGTCTTGTGCAGTGCCTTGAATCACATTCTTGATCTTCCTGACTGCCTCTTTTATGTGGTTGGACGCCTTCACGAAGAGGTCTTTCAGGAAATACTCACTGTCCTGCACGGACGTAAGTGCCTTTGAACTGATATGATGTAGTTTTCAACACTTCACAATTTTAACATTTATCCTTTCTGAACAGACTTCTAAGAAACGGGCGGTATTTAGGCACCGCAGAAAAAATGAATTACTGTTTTTAATATGTATTTTTAGAAAGCTTTTGATGATATGTGAAGATGCAAGTCCCAAAACCACCATATGATTATCAGAGACGCCGTACTGAAAGGCTCCGGAAATTTTGACTTCCGGAGGTTCTTTAACGTGTACCCAAATCTGAGCACACGGGCCTACAGCATTTCCGCCTCCATTGGAAATGCAGCCGCTGCAGCTGGGATTCGATCCCGCGACCTGCGGGTCAGCAGCCGAGTACCTTGGCCACTATATCACCGCGGCAGCACCTCAAAAAGCTTTGGTTTTATAGGCACTTGACCATGTCTCTAAAATTGACCAGTTTACCGAATTATTGTCGAATTATTGCCGTAGCGACCCCCTTGACCTGCAGCGTTTCGGGCTCTATTAAATATCAGTCCTTCAGAATTCCGAAAGGTCTTTTCATACGTTACATCTGCCATATTCTAGAGTTACGAAACCATAAAATGTGTACTGGTGCGTCATACTGCTTACAGATAACATTATTTACAACCTTGTGAATGCTCGCAATGTAATGTATGGTGTAACAATGGTGTTGGTGTAACAATGGTGTAACAATGGTAATAGGGTGTCGCAATGTAATGGTGCAACAAGGTTGCACCATTACATGTTTGCTTGAGCCCCACAATGTTGCACAGCCAACTGCACCCTTACACACTGTGCAATTGTTCATATAGATTACATTTTTTGTCCCTATGCGAGATAAATATCTAAGCTTGCCTATCATACACGGCTACGGTGAGAGGTGAAGCTAGTGCGCAACACACACTGTGGTGTCATCTGTCGAAGAGTGCTTTGACTATCAGTGCGAAACACCTGCATCTGGAAGCACGCCGTCAACTTGCCTAACGCTGGCGTTGAAAGGATCAGAACCTTGAGCAAATTTATGGTGCGTTATCTGGCTGCAGAATGTCGATATTGTAACAGGTAAATAGATGGTCAGTGTACTTGTTTAAGGTATAAAATTGTGTCGTAAATGTTTAAAATTAAGGTCTTTCATCCCACAGCGTGCATATATTTCTTAAAAGCGAGTCTTGAAATTCCAGACTCATTGTGAGGGAGTATTTTTAAGTTTGCTAAAGATACCAATTCAAAATAAACGTTTTTGTATGTCTCTGTGTACACCAAGAACATAGCTCTCTTTGTCAGCTGCTTTGAAGTCATTTGCCTTACTTTTAGGTGTAATAATATTTATTCGTAGCGAATTTTGGTAGCGCAGAGTTAGAATAAAAGAATAAAGACACACAAAACAAGAAGCGCTGTGTGAATTTTTTTTCTTTAGACACATTCATGTGTGCCGCTTTAATTACCTACCCTTCAACCACGCCCAATCTATGTTAACTTATTACGAAAGTATTTACCAAGGCTTAGCGCAATTGCACATCATTCGGCATATTTAAGTCTCCTGTATGGTTACTTCACAGTATTCTCTACACGTGAGAAAATTGTTGGTGATATTTCTTGCAGTGTCGCATGGTCAGCACACGTCTGTGTGAAGAATAGAGCAAAAATTCATTTTTCGTGTGACGAAACCACAACAGCTTCTTTCGTTAGAAGAAACCAACATAAGTGATTTCTGGCCACAAGTACTGCGAGCCGTTTTTGCCCCTTATGTAAGAAACTTGAAGCGGTTAAGCTAAAGATTTCATTTTTTTGCAGAAAGAAGTCAGAATGTGTTAGTTACCACGTTCACACATAATTACTCAAAAGCACGCACGACGCACGTTTTAAATACTGACCACCTTTGCAAGCTCCCAAATTGCGCGCCTCATAAAACTTAACCACAACGTATTCATCGTAATGCATTTATTACATTATCTTGCATTTACATTTATCTAGGCTACCTGCGATGATAACACAGAAGCTTCACCGCACGCAACCGTCATGAGCTCCATTTTTGTTGCGACAGTTTTTTTTTAATTTAGTCGACATTCATGGTGTGTTGGTTGACTCACTATGCTTGCAGTAACATTGATGACAACACCAGAATGACAAAAAATGTCCGCCTCAAAATGCAATAGTCAGGGCCACCGCGATATTTAGTTTTTACTCGCCCTCTTTCTTATGTTTACTGTCAAACAAACTAGCTTGAACACCGTGACAGGCCGCTGTGGCTTAGAATCTTTGTGTTGTACTTTGAGCGTTTTCATTCCTAAAGTCTGCTTTTTATCGGAAATATGTTGATTAGTTCAGTTGTCAACCACCCTCTACAACAACTGTTGACTGAGTATGTCTACGACTATCAATGTCCTGGTTGTTCCAGCAGGCAATTGGATTGGGGCCGACAATAAAATATTTACGGCAGATAAACATTACTCACTTCATTACACGTTACATTACACAGAAAATACATTACACAGAAATACTGAGAACAACAGATTGGACAGCAGCTTAGCAGCCGCGAATGGCAGAGAGTTAAAACAGCAGCGAAATTAAAAACTTCGAAGATATGAGTTTGAACCAATTCGCACAAGAGAGTTGGTGGACCATTGGTAGAGCTTGAACCCTGTTGGTATTAGTCAGTAGACATAAAACTGGCTGATTACGGCGATAATCGTGGTGATGGTATTACGCAGAAAATAGCGTTAGAAAATAATTTTTGTCTTTAAGGAGCCCATCAAACTTTATTCAATTTATATAAATGCTGTGAAAAATAAATAATCTTAATTGACCAAAGTTCTGTTCCTATCTCTTGTATCATTAGCTTCTAATTTTGTGGGATTATTTGATGTGCCCTGTCGTGATTAATAATTATCCTTAGCTTACCAGCTTCGATTCGTCCTTAGAAAGGCCTTGAGCGACTTCAAGAAGAATGTTTCCGACGTCCGTGGCTTCTTTGGCCAGCTTCTGGGCCTGCGCACTCACAGAAACCGTTGGCTTGCCTGAGAGCACGTGTGCCGAGCCTGTAGAAATAACCGCAATAAAAATTTGAAATGCACAACAGTGTTACGATTTCGGCTTTTTGGGTTCAAGATTGAGGAGCAGCTCAGAAGACCAAATACATGGGTGAAGACAATACCTTTCGTGCACTTTGTAATACCAGCATTAAATTGGTTCTATATGACAGAAACAAGAAACGTTTTAAGTGCACTTTTACCTGAATGTTTCATGCACGTGCCCGCTTAGTACGTCACCGCCAGTTATTTATACATACGAAAGTCACGCCACAGGTATTAAATAATCTTTACAGAATATTTATAAGTTGAGACGTTTGCGCTTTATGACTTTACAGCCTATTTTCAAATTACTCCTTGTAATAAAAAGCGCACCTTCATAGTTGAATGCTGTATCTCATTCTCAATCAGTGTAAACCAATCGGAACGGTATAAATTTAACACCCGGCCAGCTTGAGTGCTGCAGTGTACAGGACAAAATGTGAAGGACCGCACAAGAGTGGTTGCATTTAGTTCACGTTACCGAAAAACACAAAGTCGCCATCATTGCGGAGTTCACCTACATGATCTGCCTGATTATATAATATTATTACTGGTACTATAAATCTTAAAAAAAGACTATTGTCTTTGTCGAGCAGTGAAGCAAACCGAGCACTTAATAGTGCCTGTGCGTTGCATTCATGTTGTAAAAAATTGCATGTTTTTTAGGTAAATGATAGCAACAGTAGTATTATAACTAAACTTGATGAACTGGATCACATACTGAGGATTAGCAGGGTTACACAATATAACACATCAAATTACCCATAAAAAACTGCGCAGAGAGTATACAAGGACAAATTACACGGGACTAGAAGACAGACAATACTACGCACTGTGACACACAAAAAGGCACAGAGGCCGCTTCGTCCACCAGCTGATCACGGATGAAAATTGTGCGGTTGGTCACAGAAATAATAAAACTTCATCTGCATCTGTTATTGACAAAAAGTCACTAAAACACATTGTTTCCTTGGCAAGTGAACGCAACATGAGAAAATTATGCGTACCACTATCGGGTGTATTGCAGTGACAAGAAAATAGCACAACACAATATATTTGGTAGTTTAGTGGGCCAAAAACTTGTATGAATATTTACCATACTGCAGTGTGAAAATGAGCAGTGATTTCTGATAATCATTCGTTGTTTTCTAACGAAAACTGCAGTCTAGCTGCGAAGTTTTCGCATAGCGCACCTATCCAAACATTAACCTTAATGTCTTAAAAGCGAAACTGTGTCCACAAGCTGAGCAGCGCAAAGCGCTAGCCTCGCTTTCTGTCTGCAACAGTGCAGAGAAAGAGGGGCGTTTACACATTCCAAATTGTATTTTTATCATTGTAAAAGACACGTAACATGTTAAATCCTCTCTCAAACTGGGAATTTCATTGATGCGCAATATTCAACAACTAAGGGGAGTACAAGATATGAAATATAATGGGCTGTGTTTTGATCTTGTATTTTTCCAGATCAACTGCTGATACCAATTGTTGTAATATAGAACAAGCATGCACTAACACAGAAAATGCTTTTTCTTACCAGCTCATAAAATTTCGGATCAACATTCAAAGAACAATATATTCATACTCACAGGTTGCTGCAGCAAAGCAAACAGCGAGAATAGTAGCTACGGCAGACTTCATTTTGCTGGCCCTGAAAGACAGGTGTGCCGAACTGTTATGTCTGAGCTTCTATCTTACACACTCTGCATTGAAAAATGTTATTGATTCTTAGCAAGCAGACTTCGAAATTTGCACGAAATATGCAATAGTGCATGGCATTTTTCATCAATCATTCCCATTGCTTCAGGAATGATGAAAGGTTGCGTTAAGTTAAAATTCAATGTTGAGATGAAAAAGCGCTGAATCAGCCTACGCACATGAGCTTTACTACCACTGTTGCTTTTGCTAGGAGTCTTACCAAGAAACATTAGTACAGTTTTTGTCATATGGTATGTGAGATATGACGAAATATTGGTTACCAATCAAATATGTGGTCATAATACAAATGGCACTGCACTCACCTGTTGAAGAAACCTTTTAGCGCGTCGACGTCCTAGGTTAACCGCGTTTATGCCTCTGAAGTTCTGACTTTTATATGCGATACTGAGCCGTGACTGAGTGGTATACAGGGGTAGGGGGGGGGGAGGCATAGTCTTTGCCATTGATAAAGAGATGGCATGCTCTGCTGTTCTGAAAAGCGTAGCGCTCTACACGCCCGATGGTGATAAGAGCGTTTAACAAAAGACTGGGTTCTGAAATGATACCGCGCGAAAACCGCAATTCTTGCTATCACACCTGAAAGGAAGTTGGGTGCTGTATTGTTCGACGCCCCTTTATCAGTGCCTCATCTCTGGGCCTGCTATGCACGGGACCGGTAAGTGTTTTTATGTGAAAAAGCAGCCATTCGCTAGCAGTTTTTCTCATATATAGGATATCGAGGCCTGTCTGGTTGCTCTTGATCTCGAACATTCTCCTTTCATTATTTTGCGAGAGAAATTGTTACGCGTCAACACTGCGTTGACATCTTTTTTGAACACTTGGGCACGAATATTGCGTTGACAATTAAGGGCAAAGATGCCAGTGTGCCTTTTACAAGTGTAATTGATCAAGTGAATTTTTTACCGTTGCCTTGTCTATTAGTACCTCTGAGATTACACAAATATGTATAATTGGCAAGAGTGGTTGGACAAAAGTAGCGTTTGAGCGCCCAGGGTAGCTCATGTAGAACATCAAATAAAATCTACAGGTGACACCGATCCACTAAAGTTGAAACGGCACATTTATTTTGTAACTCTCTGCTCGAATAAAACATATTCATTATGGCCATGTGCTACAGAAAGAAGAATGACCCTAGAAAATAAGCTCACCAATAAAAGTTGATTTCGCACTGTATATGTAATATTTTTGAAAAAAATAAATGTCTTATTTCAACTCGTAGTTTGAATTTTTAGCAATATTTGTGAAGAAGTTTTCCGAAAGCAAAGGCATATTTTATTGGTTAAAATACACAAGTGTTCAACGTGTCTGTTCAGCAATGAGGTGGAATTGTTTCCACCTAATGCCCCCTGAAGTGCTACGCACATAAATTTTCTTGGTTACCTGACCAGGCTACTTAGCATAGCTCACTTTCTTGTCATCTTGAGAATAGTCTTCAGTGTTTGTTGAAGTTTTCTACGCAGGTTTTCTATTATTTGCATAGGTTCTAAGCAGCACGCTACTGAACAATGTTATCGGGAAATGGCGCATGGCCGAGATATTAGCCATTGATTATTGTACCTATCCTTCAGGCTCTCACTATTTAAATACTTCATCTACTCGAATAGCGATAGCGCTGGAGAGTTTCGAAGTTCCTACTTGATGATTATTTTTGTGTTTTACAAGTGGATAAGTGCTGTAGATGTGAAGTTGTCATTGATGATTCCGGAGGTACTGTCTCGCGACTATGAGTCGATAATTTGAAGGCCCTTTTCGCATGCATTGAAGCGCTGAATTGTTATTGGTCGAACCCTTTCCCAATAAAGCAAATTACAGCCATAGTACAATGCTAACGGCGTGCTCTCCTGTTGGAAGTCTAATATCTGATCTTCAAACATAAGTCGGACCTCGCAATATATAATAATCCCAAATTTGGTATATGTTTAGGTAGCCTAATGGCTGCGAGCCATGAGAGTGAAATGCAGTCATCTTCTTACATGACACGCCTGTCCTGATAATCGCGTTTGCACACACACCATCGTCATCCATTCATGTCCCGTGACTTAAACTTTTGTATATGTGAAGCTAGTGAAACCGCTGCGAGTGCGCCATGAGAATAGCATAAAGTCACGTTATAGATAACACGCTTATCATAATAATTATGCTTGGACGTCTCATGTACCGTCGTAATTCGTTCACATCATGTTAAACCTAGTTTGGTATAAGTGAAGCTAGTGAAACGACGACGAGCTCATTATGATCCTGGCGTGTTCTCACAATTTGCATGTCATCATTCCCACGTTAGAGCTTGTCACCCATGTTTGCCCCGCACTCATGTCACACCATACTATTTTGCAATATGTCATGGGAAAGAAACCACCGCAAGTGCAGCAAGACCATGACATGTAAATGGTTATATTCATGACGTACAAGTCATGATTTTTATGTTACGACTGATCACTGATGCTCATCATGCATGCATGTTATGCCATACCACTTTTGGCATAGATCCTCTAATTGAAACAGCAACGGGAGCTGAAATTTGTATAGGAGAACAGATAGATAGAAAGATAGATAGATAGATGGATAGATAGATAGATAGATAGATAGATAGATAGATAGACAAATAGATAGATAGATAGATGATAGATAGGTAAATGCTAGATAGATAGATAGATAGATAGATAGATAGATAGATAGATAGATAGATAGATAGATAGATAGATAGATAGATAGATAGATAAATAGATATGGCCAAAGTCACCAAAGTTTGCAAAGAAATGCTTCGCATATAAAAGAAACCTTGCCTGCATTTGGTCCTGCCTGGCTGGTTCACCAGAAATTTATTAAAATTGTTTTCTTTTCTTCGTTTTACTCTGCCTTTTGACCACTATAGTGTAGCGAAGACCACGTGGCAACCCTCTCTCTACCGTACAAAATGCATTTCCTCTTTTCCCCACCCCCTGCATACTGCGATAGGGGATCACACATGCTTTAGAATGGGGAGCATCTCTTCTTACAAAAAGTTGGCACGCCACATGTGAATAGTCACGCCGAAAAATTTCATTAGATCTTGCGTATTTTCAAAATCGATATGACGCGATGCATGCCTAAGCAAGGTATCTGTGTTGTAAATGTGTTGTTGAGCGAAACGTTAAGGCATGACGCTAAAGATATGTAGCGTAGCCCTAGTGGCAGCTAGCCAGATAGAGAAAAAGAAGACGAGCGCCAGTACCTCGTGGCACGGGGTGCCTAGAACATTCGAAGCTTCTGGCTGGCTTGACGCCACGGCCGCTGCTGTACTTCAGCAGCTCACTTCCGTCCTCAACTGATGTCTTCGTCAGCTCATTGAACCAGCAATGACAGCTCGTCCACGTCGGACGTCGTCACATCGCTACAGATATGTACGAATGTCGTACGAACAGACATACGTTGAGCAGGCGCACATGTTTTACATACGCAGTTGTTCACAGTTGCGTAACGATCAATATGGGTATTAGGAACCTCAGAAGCAGTAAGCTGGCATGTCATTTCTTCTGTTTACGAGCTTAGTAGCCCTCCACAGAGCTAGATATATCAACTTAAGCAAATGACGCTTCGCAACCATTGACGTTAACCTGCAGAGGTGGCTAATATAAGGAGAACTTACGTATTTGTCTAAATGTGGATAGCCAGCACTACAACCATAGTTGAAATTTCACGAGCATGAGCGTCTGTGTGAATACCTGTTCTAAGACCAGGCGTGGCTCTGTAGTGAGATACTTCACATCCACGGAAAATATTGGCTTTGATTTTTGTTTTCACCTTCGTCGCCTTTCACCTCTTCGTTGATGGGAGATGAAGGTGGCTGACCGGAAGCGATTGGCAGGTACTTTCAAACCAGTTCTTCAAGTACTTGATTGTCCGAGAATTTTTGCCTGGCTGAATAAAGTGTGTGACTGACCATGCACCTCTGGTTTGATATGGTGTTGGTGTCATTCAACAGGTGCTTTACAAGGTTCGAAAGACCTGCGCTGCGCATCTTTCCGTCTACCAGATTGGAAATATTGTCCCATTGTTGTTTAGAAAGGACCTTACAGTGTCCTTCAATGCTTCTGTTGACCTCGAAAATCTTCTTGCGGAGCCTGCGATTGAAGCATGACCCGTTCCACCGGGCCAGGAGGGACTCTTTGGCTTCGAAAAGGTGAGCCTTTCTGCTGTCCATCTTTTCTACAAGCAGGTCCGTGACAACAAATCAGTGCTCTAAATGTATCAGAAAAGCAGCTGTTATTTTTCGTCCGTTTATATATGACCTCATATATCTTACGAAAGCTTTTGGTAAAAAATAATCAATGTGTCATTACTCAACACAACGCATTGTCCCTTGTATGCAGTTTACAGTTTTAATACTTTGTGGTTTGGACATGTATATACCCGCTCGATTTTACGCCACTTGCGAATTCTTGCCGTACAATATGTATTGATTGGCTTTTTTTCATACTTTAGTGACTATTTGATGCACCATCAAACCTGTTGAACATTGATTCAGGTGAACCCTATTGCGAAAACCAACCTTCGGCGCCATACCTGATTATGGGCCCAGTGTCACGCTGGTACCAGCGCCTCGCAGTGCTGGTACCGGGATGCTGGAACAGCAGCGTCCCAGAACCAGCGCTGGGAGGCGCTGGGTACTCTACGCAAAATAGTTTGACAGGGTCAAACGGTGGGGGGGGGGGGGTATTCGCCATAAATAAATGTAGAAGTAAAAGAAGCTATATTGCGCACATTCACAATAAAAAGTTTAAGAAATGAAAAAAATAATACCCCACGACAGCATTCTGTTTCTTTGAATTTAAATTTGAGTACTCTGTCCACTAAGCCACACCTTTCTGCTTGTTTTTTTTCCTTTGAGCCGCACTATGATATGTGGATTGGGTTGTGAAAGGACTACTAGTCCTAAAAACACGCCGTTCGACAATGTTTACAGGTCGCACAGTCAAGATTGACGCGATATTCCTTTAAAATAACAGTTGCGTCTCAATTCGACAGTGGCGAACGGCTTCGGGGCACCGAATGACGTGCCTGTATTAGCAAGAGCGCAACGTTTTTCGAAGAATCTACATCTTATCTCATAAAATTCTCAATTGACTGAAGGAGCAACCGCAGATTGTCGGCTGTTGCTGCCGATATTTCTTTTCTTTGATAGTCGCATCTAGCTAGCACTTGCTACTGGTCAACATGTACAAATGATTTACAATGACTCGTTTGGTAGACATGCGCGCACACGATTGAATATTGTGTATTTTTTTCGCGCAAGCGACAATATAGCTGTATACATCCGGCGTGCCATGCAGTGTAAAGATTTGCAGTTATATAGATACCTGTAACTAAGAATCCGCCGAAGAAAATACTAATGCAATCCACTGAAAAAGTATGCCCGTATGTTAATTCACTAAGGAGCACCAAATTAACAACTCAAAATTGCATGTTCTTACAAACGAGTGAGAGATGTACCGGCTGCTGCGCCGCCGCGGTGGTAGAGTGGCTAAGGCAGTCGGCTGCTGACCCGCAGGTCACGGGAATAAATCCCGGCTGCGGTAGCTGCGTTTACGATGGAGGCAGCAATGTTGTAGGCCCGTGTGCTCAGATTTAGGTGCACATTAAAGAACTCCAGGTCGTCAAAATCTCTGGAGCCTTCCACCAGGGCGTCTCTCATATTCATATGGTGGTTTTGAGATGTTATCCCACATATGAATAATATCTACCCGCTACAGCGCTGGGAAGGAAGCTTTCAGTAACAGCCTGCGTTACTGAAAGCACGACACATCGATCATCGTCGATCCCTGTGCGGGCAACGCGCACGCAGCCAAATAATAGATTTAGGCTCAAGGATGACTAAACTGTATTTAACGGTCAATATTACACTTTCGAATTGTGCCTATCTAAAGCAAGAAGCGGTGGTAGCAGGTACACCGACGCGGCTGGTAGGACAGAGCACTGGGTAAAGCTGCTCTTGACGCAGCTGAGTTGCAATACTTGAAGTTTCTGCATTTAAGCTTCGCAACATTTCTAACTGTTACCTAAACTGTACCTAGAGCAAGTAGAATGTCAATCATTGCCAGACATGCATTTCTGGTGTACCTTTACCAAGCAACAGCTGTTTTTCTGTCCTCCTCTGGCAGTATACCGCAGGCGTGCCAGTGTACAGAGTTGCAGTTATATCAATACCAACAACTATAAATACGCCCAATGAAATACTAATGCTATCCACTGAAAACGTATGCCAGGGAGCAAATTCACGAAGGCCTACAAAATTACCAACTGGAAGTTGCGTGTTCGTATATCAGTCAGAGAAGTACCGGCTAAGGGCGCCCGGCAGCTTTTGGTGACAGCCTGCGTTGCTGTACGCGCGACGCATCAATCGTGAGCGCTCCTTGTGTCGGCAATGACACATTAGAAAATAGTTAATCTAAGTACATAGACTATGTTGCGAACTGAACTCTCCTACTTCTACGTCCCCCTTTCCCCCCTTCGTGTTTCTGTCGATGGCTGAAGCGATAGCCATTCCCGCCCCCCTTTTTCCCCTCTCCCTGCTTCGTAGATGAAGCTACAAAAGAAGCTCGCGCGAAACAATAAACGTTCACTCGTTGCCCTGGTCTGCGGTTGTCTGCGTATGCCTGCCGTGGCTGAGCGGCTAGCTATGTAACAGTGGCGACGAAGTCGGTTTTCGCTACCCACGGTACCTGACGGACTACGAGTCCTGGCGTCAGACGAACGAGGAACGACCACGATGGCCTCCCTGCAGTTGCCGGATTACGACGAAACGAAAGATAAGTGGAAGCCTTACCTCGTCAGAGCAGAAGCGTATTTCGAGGCGAACAGTGTAACGGACCCGGCTAAGAAGCGAGCACTACTAGTTTCGGCGTTGTCTAGCAGGACGGTCGAGGTGCTAGCCGGCAGAGTAGCCCCGCGTGCACCAAATGAACTGACATACAAGGAAGTCGTTCAGAGCTTGAATGAGTATTATGACCCTAAGAAGCACGAGATAACGGAAAGCTACAAGTTCTTCAATCGCTCACAACTTCCAGGCGAAAGCGTTAGCGCATTTCTCGTTGCTATTCGCCGAATAGCAGACAACTGCAATTTCGGCACGTCTCTTGACCGCATGCTTCGGGATCGCATTGTCTGCGGCGTACGCTCCGTGGCACTGAGGAAACAGATGTTGGCAAAAAAGGATTTAACGCTAGAAGAAGCCGAAGCATTGGCACTGTCTGTCGAAGCAGCTGAAAATGGTGCCGAAAGCATGACCTCAGAAGCTACGCCCTTGCTTAAGCTACGCGCGTCCGACGTCAACACTGTTAAAACATCTCCGACTCGGCACGCGGCACAGCATTGTGATAGATGCGGAAGCAGCAAACACGACGGCAACAGCTGTCGTTGGATTAGAGCAAGGTGTTATCGCTGCGGACGTCATGGGCATCTCGCAAAGATGTGCCGCACAACCGCCAGTAAGAGCCGCGTCGCAACGCATGCAGTGGAGGGAAGAGCTTTGACTCTCGAAGAAGCCGTAACTGAAGACGACGATAAGGACGAGACACATATATGGACCTTACTTTCTGCGCGAAAAAGCCGCCTCGAGCCGCCGATAAGGCGCAGTTTTTCATGGAATGGCGTACAACTTACAATGGAAGTAGATACTGGCTCGCCTGTCTGCGTAATTTCCAAAAACGTGTTTGACAAGCATCGCGAACAGTGGCCAGCGCTTAAACCTTCTCAGGTGAAGTTGTCATGCTACGTTGGACCACTCCCAGTGATGGGGGAATTGCAACTTTGTGTGCAATACAGGGCCGTCTCAGTTTACTGCCGTCTTATTGTACTGAACTGCTCGGGACCTAACCTGTGTGGCCGGGATCTGATTTCCTTGCTCCACAGAGCGGGGGTTCCAGTTTTGCAGCCGTCGGCACAAGACTTGCTACACTCAACGCCAGAACCTGCTGGGGCAGTTCACAACATTGTCGACGACTACCACGACGTCTTCTCCAAGGATCTTGGCCTGATCAAGGGGCCTCCAGCCACATTGCAGCTGAAAGAGGGAGCGGTGCCGAAATTCTGTAAGGCAAGATCCATACCTTACGCTCTAAGGGACAGGGTGACGCAAGAGCTGGACAGGCTGGTAGCCATCGGTGTACTTTCACCAGTCCAACATTCCGATTGGGCCACTCCCATCGTGCCGGTACTTAAGAAAGACGGAACTGTTAGAATTTGTGGTGACTTCAAAGCCACCCTAAATCCAGCCTGTACAGTTGAGCAGTACCCTCTCCCAGTGATTGAAGACATGTTTGCATCTCTAAACGGCGGGGAGTATTTTAGCATTCTTGATTTGCGAGATGCCTATAATCAAGTTCCTTTGGATGAAGCCGCAAGGAAGCTCTGCGTCATTAACACGCACAGAGGCTTGTTTTCGTATAATAGGCTTCCCTTCGGAATATCCTCGGCTCCGGCTATTTTTCAAAGAAAAATGGATGCAATACTGTCAGGTTTGCCAGGGGTGCAGGCTTACCTTGATGATGTACTGGTTTCGGAGGCTCGTGGCGATGGGAGTGAACGCCTGAAGAGTGTGTTGCAACGGTTCCGTGAACACGGAGTTAAGCTAAGGTCTGATAAGTGCAGCTTTAGACAGCCTTCTGTCACATATCTCGGCCATCGGATAGACAGAGAGGGTCTTCATCCCACAGAGAAAAATTTGGAAGCGATCGCTCAGGCACCTCGCCCACAGAACGTGGCGGAGCTGCGTTCCTTTTTAGGAATGCTGACGTTTTATGCCAAATTTCTTCCAAATATGTCCACTCTACTTTCTCCGCTCAACAAACTTTTGGAGAAGGGCACAGTATGGCAGTGGGGGCGGCAACAAGAAGCTGCCTTTGAGAAAGCAAAAGACAGCCTAATGCAAGCTCAGGTTCTTGTTCAATTTGACCCGTTGAAAGAGTTGAAGCTCGAATGTGATGCTTCCCCTTACGGTGTGGGCGCGGCGCTTTTTCACACGAGTAACGGCATGCCAAAACCCATTGGGTTCCGGTCCCGTACACTGACGGCCGCCGAGAAAAATTACTCTCAGCTGGAAAGAGAGGCCCTGGCTTTAGTGTTTGGCGTCACTAAGTTTCGTGATTACCTTTTAGGTCGCCAATTCACTCTCGTGACGGACCACCAGCCCCTCTTGAGCTTGTTGCAATCCGACCGCCCGACGCCACCCCTGGCTGCAGCACGTATCCAGCGCTGGGCACTGTACTTGGGTGGCTACCGCTACAAGCTGCAATACACGCCGGGAAAACAGTTGCTCAACGCGGACGCCCTGAGCAGGCTGCCACTGCGGTCTACGGAGGCTGATGACGTGGGTGAGCCACCGGAATATGTCCTCGCTCTGGATAATTTTGACGATGGCGTTATCACAACACGGGAGCTACAGCAGCTATCGGCCACAGACCCCGCAGTAACGGCGGTAAAGAATTGTATATTACATGGCTGGCCCAAAAGTGCAAAACAGCTGGAGGAAACGATGCGGCCGTTTTTCGACCGCAAACTAGAACTGTCCGTAGCCCATGGTCTAGTGTATTGGGGGCATCGCGTAGTGATACCGGAAAAAGCGCGGGACCGTCTTTTGAAACTGTTGCACGAGACCCACCAAGGCTCGTCAGGAATGAAAGCAGTGGCAAGGTCAAAATTTTGGTGGCCCCGACTAGACCGCGATATTGAAGCGCTTGCAGCCGGCTGCACGAACTGTGCCCAAAACATGCCAATGCCGGCAGCGGCACCACCAGTAAACTGGCCGAAAACCAATGAAAAATGGTCGCGGCTACATGTCGATTTTGCCGGACCCATAGCAGGCAAGATGATTCTAGTTGCAGTAGATGCCCATACCAAGTGGATAGAAGCCGTGCCAGTAAAGCATGCCACCACAGCAAGCACAATCACCTGTCTGCGCGCCATGTTCAGTCGATTCGGCGTCCCGCGAACCATTGTTTCGGATAATGGGACACAGTTTTCTAGCCAGGATTTTGCTACGTTCGTGGCAAAGAACAACATAATGCATCTGAAAACGGCGCCCTTTCATCCACAGTCTAATGGAGCGGCAGAACGAGCAGTGCGTACAATAAAGGATGGACTTCGGAAGATGAGGGAGGGTAATTTGGAGGACAACCTTGTGCGGCTCCTGTTCAACTACAGGAGAACACCACAGAAGACGGGAAAATCTCCGTCAGAATTGTTGCTAGGGTTCCAGTTACGTTCACGATTGGATGCGTGTTTTCCCTCAACTGTTGCAGACTCGCCGCCGGCATCAGATGACTGGGTGGTCCCCCATGGAAAGCAACGTGTACGTGCGGAACTACGGTATCGGAGAAAAGTGGACACCAGGGCGTGTGCAGTCCACTGCAGGATCCCGAATGGTGACCGTCCAAACTCCTCATTCTGTAGTCAGACGCCACGTGGACCAAGTGCGCCCTCGACAAGCATCGCAGTCCCCATCGCCGGGCTCTGCATCCTTATCAGAGTCTAATATGTCCATGCTGCCGAAACGATCGCCGGGGCCCTCAACTGCAAGCTCCACCGTGCTGCCTCCAGAAGCGCTCACTACCGCAAGCCCCCACGACCATCCAGTGCCAACCATGCCACAGGCCGGTCCTACACAAGCGGCGACCCCAAGCGCGGAACCAGTGCTTCGGCGTTCTACCAGACAACGCAAGCCAGTACAACGGTTCCATTTTTAAGAAGAGAGAAGTGTTGCGAACTGAACTCTCCTACTTCTACGTCCCCCTTTCCCCCCTTCGTGTTTCTGTCGATGGCTGAAGCGATAGCCATTCCCGCCCCCCTTTTTCCCCTCTCCCTGCTTCGTAGATGAAGCTACAAAAGAAGCTCGCGCGAAACAATAAACGTTCACTCGTTGCCCTGGTCTGCGGTTGTCTGCGTATGCCTGCCGTGGCTGAGCGGCTAGCTATGTAACAGACTATGCTTTAGAGTTTTTCACACACTTCAACATTATGTGTACATGAAACAAGAAGCGTCGGGAACATATACACCGACGTGGCGGGCACAATAGGCCTAATGCTCGCTGGGCCTGGCACTGGGTACGACCGCTCTCGACGTGATCAGTTGGGTCGGTCGAAGTTGCTGTATTTGAGGTTCGGAACATTTGTGACTGTTACCTAAAGTACGTAGAAGCATAAGCAAGGCCAGACATCCATTTATGCGTTGTGCCGGTATCGAACAACAGCTAATTATCTCGTATCCACTGGAAAACCTTGCGAAGTGATCGGAGACCTCATGTACGTTTCGTCAGCTTGGCGGCATAAATGATTTCTTGTTTCTGTTAGGAGTGGCATCCAGCTCCAGGCTTATAAACACTTCAACATGAATTCGTTCAGAAATTCATGGCCGATGCGAATATTGCCGTTTTACGTGGTGGCTTGCTGAAAAAGTGCATTAATTGCTGCGACAGGCATGCGCACCAAAATCTTTACGCATACTCATGATCTGTTAGTGTAGAATCTATCTGTGCCATTGAATCAAGCATTTTATGTTCAACGACACCAAAACATACCACGAAACACGCTAAATAAACGTGCACGCTGCGCTGGTAGAAGCAGTGCTTGCTCCAATATTCACCAGCGCTAGTCATGGAAAATTCCAGCGCTTCATCACTTCTCGGAGTGCACCACCATCATGGCGGTTAAGCCAGCGCTCCTACCAGTGCAACACAGCAATTTTCCAGTGCGCCCAGCAAAGTACCAGTAAAACCAGTGTTTACCGTTGTCTCCAGCGTTTACCAGTGCTAAAAAACGTACTGGCATCACACTGGGGATGCTGTTTTTTGCAGTAGGGAAAGGGTGACATTTCTTCAAGGTTGAATAATAATCGCATAAAAGAGTGATCCCTGGGCGTTAAATTGATGCCTAAGCAAGAAATCAATTACTTTCGATTTTATTTCTACGCACCTTGGGCCGGATTCACAAAGCTCACTTACGAAAACATTTTTGCGCAAGAGAAATTTTGTTGCGTAAGTCGATTCACGAAACGAAAAAACCTCGTAAGAGGCCATCGTTGTCACATCGGCCGCTGCAAATAAAGTGCGCTGTGACTGCCCGGGAACATGTCGGCGATGGTGATGCAGTTGCTATATTTGCTTACGTCACCGAAAGTGCTCGTAAGTGGATTCACGAAGTGAAATTGTGCGTAAAAACAGCATGGCTGAGAGAAAATCCTAAGAGTGGTCCGGACCACTCGTAGGAACATTGTGGGTACTTAGAACCCTGTTGCCGCGGTGGTATACTTTGGTGCCCTGGCTGGTTTTGAATTAATTCACGCCCATTAAGGGCTGCCTGAGGACTGCTGGTGCGTTTTTATTTCTTTCGGCGCTTTGAGCTTCGCGTGTTGTTTTTCTTGTACGCAGTGAATGGTGTTGACAACCACCGTCGTCCATTAAGTTCGAAGTCGCAGTAATTGAAGAATTCTATTGGGCG